ACGTGTGGTACATCTCCTTCCTGCTCTGCAATGGTAAGACATGCTTGCTTCCCCTTCGCCTTCTGCCATGATTGTAAGTTTCTGAAACCTCCCCAGCCATGGAGAACTAAATTAAACCTCTTTTCTTCATAAACTGGCCAGTCTGAGGTAGTTTTTTTGTTTTGTTTTGTTTTTTTTTAGGGACAGAGTCTTGCTCTGTCACCCAGGCTGGAGTGCAGTGGAGCAATCTTGGCTCACTGCAACCTCCACTTCCTGGGTTCAAACAATTCTCCTGCCTCAGGCTCCTGAGTAGCTGGAATTACAGCTGCGTGCCGCCACGCCTGGCTAATTTTTGTGTTTTTAGTAGATACCGGGTTTCACCATGTTGGCCAGCTGGTCTTGAACTTCTGTTTTCAAGCGATCAGCCTGCCCGGGCCTCCCAAAGTGCTGGGATTACAGGCATGAGCCATTGCTCCCGGCCTCAAGTAGTTCTTTATAGTGTGTGAAAACAGACTAAAGCAAGAGTGTTTTGTTTAATTTCTACATATTGTGGGTTTTCCCGTTATTTCCTCTGTTATTGATTTCTAGTTTCTTTTTTTTTTTAAACAGAATCTCAAAAGGACAGGAATGAACCACTGCGCCCAGCCCTCGATATCTACTTTTATTCCATTGTGATTGGAAAAGATAATCAATCTCCATGATTACAGTCTTTTAAAATTTATGGGCCAGGCATGGTGGCTCATATCTGTAACCTTAGTGCTTTGAGAGGCTGAAGAAGGAGGACTGCGTGAGGCCAGGAGTTTAGATTAGCCAGGGCAACATAGTGAGAACCTGTCTCTACAAAAAATTTTAAAAATTAGCTGGGTGTAGTGGTGTGCACCTTTGGTTCCAGCTTCTTGGGAGCCTGAGGTAAGAGGGATTGCTTCAGCCCAGGAGTTTGATGCTGCAATGAGCTAATTGCACCCCTGCATTCCAGCCTGAGAAACAGAGCGCAACATTGTCTCTGATTAAAAAAAAAAATTTATTAAGACTTGTTTTGTGGCCTAAGGGGTGGTCTGTTTTGGAGAATGTCTCACGTGCACTTGAGAAAAGTATATGCTCTGCTCTCGGAGACTAGAGTACTTTGTGTGTGTCTGTTAGGTCCAGTTAGTTTATAGCATTGTTGAGTGCCTCCATTTCCTTATTGATGCTGTATCTGGCTATCCTATCCATTATTGAAGTCTGCAACTATTGTTATACAAATCTCCTTGTCACTTCAGTTGTCAATGTTTGCTTCTGTTTTGGGGCTCTGATGTTTATAACGAATTTTCTTGGTAAGTGACCCTCTCATGATCCATTAGTTAATGTCCTTTTTTTTTTTTTTTCGACGCGGGGGCCCAGTCTGCTCCGTCGCCACTGGCACGTGCCGAGGTGATGTGATCTCGGCTCGTTGGCAACCACCTCCACCTCCGCACGGGTTCAGCAAGTCTCCTCTGCCTTCAGCCCTCCCCGAGTAGCGGCGATATACGCGTGCCCTGCCCACCACGCCCAGCTAATTCTCTCGCTAGTTTTTAGCTATAGGACGAGTTTGTCAACCATATTGGTCGGCTGGTCTTGAACCTCCTGGACCTTGTGAATCTGCCCTCCTCAGTCCAAAGTGCCTGGGATTACCAGCATGAGTACCAGCGCCCAGGCGTTTTTTTTTTTTTTTTTTCCCTGAGTCGAGGGTCTTATTCTGTCTAGCGGCTGGCAGCGCAGTGGTGCAATCTTGGCTCACTGCAACCTCTGCTCCTGGGCTCAAGCGATCCTCTCACGTCTGCCCCCCAAGTAGCTGGGACTAGAGGTGCAAGCCGCGATACCTGGCTAATTTTTGTATTTTTTTGTAGAGAGGGGTTTCACCATGTTTCCCAGGCTGATCTTGAACTCTTGAGCTCAAACCACCCGCCTCCAGCCTCCCAAAGTGCTAGGATTACAGGCCTAAGCCACTGTACCTGGCCTTATTTAATGTACTTTTTGTGTTTTATAAGTTTTCAATTCAAATTCTATTTTGTCTGATAGCCAACCTTGCACTTCTCTTTTGCTTGGAAGAGCTTTTTCCATCATTTTGCTTTCAATATGTTTGTGTCTTTAAATTTAAAGCGAGTCTCTTTTTCTTTTTCTTTTTTTTTCTTTTTTTCTTGAGACGGAGTCTCACTCTTTCACCCAAGCTGGAGTGCAGTGGCACAATCTCAGCTCACTGCAACCTCGGTGTCCCAAATTCAAGCTATCCTCTCACTTCAACTGGTTCCACAGATGTGCAGCACCATGCCTGGCTAAGTTTTTTGTATTTTTGGTTTCACCGTGTTGCCCAGACTGGTCTTGAATTCCTGAGCTTAAGCAATCCGCTTGGAATTAGAGGCGTGAGCCACCTCACATGGCCTAAAGGGAGTCTCTGTTTACAGACAGTTTATAGTTGGATTATTTCCTTTTAATCTACTTTGCCAATCTCTGCCTAGGGAGATCTATTTACATTTAAAGTAATTACTGATAAGGAAAGATTTTTGCCATTTCACTATTTTTATGTCTTACAGCTTTTTTGTCCCACATTTATTCCATTACTGCTCTCGTGTTGTTTGATTTTTTTTAATAGTGATGTGTTTTGATTCCCTTCTCATTTCCTTTTGTGTGTATTTTTCCTTGTGGTTACCTGGGGATTACATGTAACATCTAAAGTTACTGAATTCATATTAACTTAACTCTAGTTGCATACAAAAACTACTTCTGTATTGGTCTGTCCCCCCTTTAAGTTGATATCACAAATTATGTCTTTATAATAATTTTAATGCATTTGTCTTTTGAACTCTGTAGAAAGTGAAAAGTAAAGTTACAAACCAAAATTACAGTACTATTGGATTTTAAATTGCCGTTGACATTTATCTTTTCCAGAGATCTTTATGTCTTCATGTGGCTTTTCTTTACTGTCTAGCTCTTTTCATTTCAACCTGAAGTACTCTCTTTAACATTTCTTATAGGGGAGGTCTTGTTACAGTAATGAATTCCCTCTGCTTTTGTTTTTCTGGAGATATTTTAATTTCTTCCTGAGTTTTGAAGGACAGTTTTGTGGAATGTAGAATTCTCAGTTTACTTTTTTTTTTTTCTTTCAGCACTTTAGATAATATCCCACTGCCTTCTGGCCTCAAGATTTCTGATGGGAAATTGGGTGATATTCTTATTAAGGATCCCTGTACTTTACAAGTTGCTTCTCTCTTGCTGTTTCCAAGATTCTCTCTGTCTTTTAAAAGTTTGATTCTGTATCTCTGTGTGGGTCTCATCAGTTTGTCTTAGAGTTTTTGGAAGTTGCCTCTTTTTTTTTGAGACGGAGTTTCTCCCTTGTTGCCTAAGCTGTAGTGCAATGGCAGGATCTTGGCTCACCGCAACCTCTGCCTCCCAGGTTCAAGCAATTCCCCTGCCTCAGCCTCCTGAGTAGCTGGGATTACAGGCATTTGCCACCATGCCCACTAATTTTGTATTTTTAGTAGAGTTGGGGTTTCTCCAGGTTGGTCAGGCTGGTCTCAAACTCCCGACCTCAGCTGATCCGCCCATCTCCGCCTCCCAAAGTGCTGAGATTATAGGCGTGAGCCACCACGCCCGGCCCAACCTAATTCTTATCTTAGGTAAAAACAGCAATACTTGAAAATGTCAGACCAGAGAAATCATTAAGAAATGTTTAATGAAAATACTTAGCAAATTAACCCTGATCTTGTAGCTTTTAGGGAAAAAAGTAACTTTTCCTGTAGTAATAGTTGTGATACTAACAGAGATTTGTGGAAATATACTCCAGGATTTTGGTTTGCTAATGTATAGTATAATATGGAAATCCACATTGTTATTTAAATAAGATGGACTGGAATTTGAATTCTAGTCCCTCACCTTACTAACTCTTTGACATTGGACAAGAAACATGGTCTTTGTGTGCTTTTAATTTTCTTACCCATGATAGGAGGATATATTTCCTCAGATAAGGTTTGTGAAGCACCCAGTTCATTGTCTTAGTGAATGTCGAATACTCAGTAGAGGATAGCTGTAATTGTTTCCATGTCAGGGAAAATATTTGAAATGGTCTGAATACCTATTTTCTTAATGTTTTGTAAAGTTGGAATAAAGATTAAGTTCATGTCGTTGGAAATATTTATACCTATTAGGGAGAAGTTAAGCTGAGAGTTGCTCTGAACCATGAGAATTATTGTCGATAGTGAAACGACTATTGAATGTATTATTTTTGTAGTTTTTTTTTGTTTTGTTTTGTTTTTTTTGAGACGGAGTCTCACTCTCGCCCAGGCTGGAGTGCAGTGGCGCGATCTTGGCTCACTGCAAGCTCCGCTTCCAGGATTCATGCCATTCTCCTGCCTCGGCCTCCCAAGCAGCTGGGACTACAGGCGCCCGCCACCACGCCCGGCTAATTTTTTGTATTTTTAGTAGAGACGGGATTTCACCGTGTTAGCCAGGATGGTCTCAATCGCCTGACCTTAGGTAATCTGCCCGCCTCAGCCTCCCGAAGTGCTGGCTGAGCCACCATGCCCGGCCAGTTTTTTCTCTTTTTAATGTGAAACCAGCATTAGGAGTACATCTAGGGGCGAAGGATAGTTTATTGTATAAATCAGCTGCCTCAATTTCCTCTTAGGACAATTAACAGCTGTAGTTCACATGGGTTCTACACGGGCCTGGAGATCACAGTTCTCCTGTGGAGCTGTCCACTGGGGGGTGGCATATGTTAGAGAACATGTCTGTGTAAGTAGCATCAGAGTATGTTGTGTTGGTGACAGATGTTTTGAAAATGCATAATTACTTAAAATTTGTTGATTCATTATTTTATATGATTATAAAAATAATTTTTATAGAGGATTTATAAAAAATATGCTTTTACATTTAAAGGAAATGGAGGCTATATAAAGAAGTTAAATTCTGATCTCAAAGACGTTGTGTTGAATACGTTGAGAAAAATAACCTGGTTGATATTTTAGTCAATGTCTCTTTAAAGGTTACATTCTCATTTCTTGTTACAGAAGCATTTTTTAGCCATCCTTTTCTTGAGCAAGTTCCAGTAAAAAAATGTGAGTACCCATTTTTTGTATTTTCACTTAAAGAATGAATGCAAGCTTTAGGAAAAATTAATTATTTTTATTACAAAATTGATCTTTTATTGTGCCTCTTAAAATTTCATTGAATTTACTTTTTTTTTTTTTTTTTTGTTTTTCTAACTTTTTTTTTTTTTTTTTTTAAATGGAGTCTTGCTGTGTCACCCAGGCTGGAGTGCAGTGGTGCAAACTCTGCCTCCTGGTTTCAAGTGATTCTCCTGCCTCAGCCTCCAGAGTAACTGGGATTACAGGCGGGTACCACCACACCTGGGTAATTTTTGTATTTTTAGTAGAGATGAGGTTTCACCGTGTTGGCCAGGCTGGTCTCAAACTCCTGACCTCAAGTGATCCTCCCGCCTCAGCCTCCCAAAGTGTTGGGATTATAGGAGTGAACCCCTGTGCCTGGCCTGATTTTCTTAGATACCTACGATTGTGTTTGTTGAATAACTGTTCTATTTTTCCTTCTGAAACAAAGTTGAAATAGTTTTAGTAATTGCTGCATTTTTAGTTTCATCAGCAGATGTGGTAATAAATAGGTGAATGCAAATTTTCAGGAAACACAAAGGTGTAGTGGTTTTGGCAGGTGTTTCTATTATACAGGTCATGTGACTGCACTACAAAATGATGTAGTTCATTTGTGTTTCTTCCTCTAGCTTGCCCAGTTCCAGTGCCCATGTATTCTGGTTCTGTCTCTGGAAGCTCCTGTGGCAGCTCTCCATCTTGTCGTTTTGCTTCTCCACCAGTAAGTTCTGGTTTTATTAAAAATAGTTTCAGAGTTAGTACTATTACATCTGTTCTCAAATGGAGCATGAACATACACTGTAGATATTCTTTTTATGTGTAATGTTTACTAATGCAGTTGAGGTTTGGGAGAAAGAACATTATAGTTGGGTCAAATGGACCTGTATTTGGACCTCTGCCCATATGTTACTGTGTAAGCTCCAGAAAGAAATATCACCTCTCTGGGCCATTTTCCTCTGAACAGTGAGTACAGTAATATCACCTTTTTATACCCTATGGTGTTTTGGTGATGATACTTACAAAGAGTACCCATTACAGGTGGATAGGCAATAAATATTTATTTTATCTGAATGCTATAGACATGAGCTTGGATTTTTTTTGTATGTGGAATTTCTACTGATGGAGGAGTCACCTCTGAGCCAGATTTCACTGACTTAAGATTCTCTTAATCATGATTTTTGGCGCTTTAAGGTGGCTTCTACTCAAACCTCTTCCTTTTGCTGAAGCTCCCAAGGCATTTTCTTCATGGCTGTGTTCCTTCCCATTTCAGTACTTCTTCCTAATCCTGAGGCCTTCTGGTCACTCTTGTCACTTCTTCCTACTCCACTCTCCCAGAGTTTTACCTAGCTCTCCTCTTAGGTTTTTTTTTTTTCCTTTTTTTTTTTTGAGATGGAGTCTCGCTCTGTCACCCAGGCTGGAATGTAGTGGCGCCATCTTGGCTCACTGCAACCTCCGCCTCCTGGGTTTAAGCGATTCTGTAGCCTCAGCCTCCCAAGTAAGAGGGACTATGGGTGCATACCACCACACCCAGCTAATTTTTTGTATCTTTTTTTTTTTTTTTTTGAGACAGAATCTCGCCCTGTTGCCCAGGCTGTGCAGCCTCCACCTCCCGGGGTCAAGCAGTTCTCTGCCTCAGTCTCCTGAGTAGCAGGGATTACAGGCACGTGCCACCACACCCGGCTAATTTTTGTATTTTTAGTAGAGACAGGTTTCACCATCTTGGCCAGGCTGGTGTTGAACTCCTGACCTTGTGATCTACTCGCCTCGGCCTCGCAAAGTACTGGGATTACAGGCGTGAGCCACCGCGCCCAACCTTTTTTATATCTTTAGTAGAGATGGGGTTTCACTATGTTGGCCAGGCTGGTCTCAAACTCCTGACTTCCAGTGATCTGCCCACCTTGGCCTCCCAAAGTGTGAGCCACGGCACCCGGCCCCAGACATCAATTTCTTGAATGCCTCTGGCACAAAGGTTAGGGAGCCATAAAAGTGAGGCAACTCAGAGGTTTAAGTGGATGAGACTTGCAGCCTCCATGTGCCTTACCTTATACTAACTAGGGCACCTTTTTTTTGTATATCAAGTGAGTGTAATTTACCTACCTTGTAGGGTTCTTCAGGGATAAGTGAGTACAAACACTTACTGCATGCAGGGTCTGACACATAGTATATAATGCAGGAGGTGGCAACTGTTAGGTAAAGCAGATTCAGATGTAGCCTGTTGCAAACAGACAAGTCTCAAAACTGGCAATAAATGTTTCTTATGCAGCCCTGCAAATTCATACCAAGTAGATAAAGCAGATTATGTTAGTAAGACTTATGTTCTGGTGAACTAAAAAAATTAAGAGCCAGGCATGCTGGCACCAATCCTAGCCCTGCTGCTTGCCCAGTCAGTGACTTTGGGCCGGTCAGTTAGAGAGGTGGGCCATGGTGTCCTCATCTGGACCATAGGCTTGATTAACCTTTGCTTGCAGGGTCCTGGTAGTAATGTGTGGGAAGTGCCTAGCCATGGCAAATTCTCAATAAATTGTGGCCATTATTATGAACCATATATTTGACACAATGTAATATGAAAAGCAAAGCTTGTGCTAGAGAAAAGAACAACAGGGAAGAGTCTAATTTTGGGAGAGCAAACATAAAGGAGCCTGTGGGATGATAGTGTGACTGAGGGATGAGAGGCCAGCAGGGAGGACGTTGAACTGGAAATTTTCTTTGACTGGAGAGAGCATTGTGGGGTTTTTGTTGGTTGAAAGAGAACAAAATAGCAGCCAGGTTAGGGCTGCCAAGGAGTAGCTGAATGTAGAACTAACTGGAGGAGTGAAGAGAGGCAGGAGAAAGAGAAGGACTTTTTTAGGTGTTAGAAACTCTGGTGGACAAACCTATTTTTACTGAGGCAGGAAGACTGTTTGATCCCAGGAGTTCAAGACTAGCCATCACTACTAAAAAAAATAAAAATAAAAAAAAAGCCAGGTGTGCCTGGGCATGAGTGTAGACTCAGCTGTAAGGGAGGCTGAAATGGGAGGATTGCTTGATCCCAGGAGTTCAAGGCCAGTCTGGGCAATATAGTAAGAACCTGCGCCTCTATAAAAAAAAAAAAAAAAAAAATCCATCGGGCCGTGGTGACTCGACGCCTGTAATCCCAACACTTTGGGAGGCTGAGGTGGCTGGGTCAGGAGATCAGGACCATCCTGGCTAACATAGTGAAACCCCGTCTCTACTAAAAACACAAAAAATTAGCCAAGCGTGGTGGCACGCACCTGTAGTCCCAGCTACTCAGGAGACTGAGGCAGGAGAATTGCTTGAACCTGGGAGGTGGAGGTTGCGGTGAGCCAAGATTGCGCCACTGCACTCCAGCCTGGGCAACAGAGCAAGACTCTGTCTCAATAAAAAAAACAAACCAAACGAAAAACAGTAAAATGGCCGGGTGTGGTGGTTCATGCCTATAATTCCAGCACTTTGGGAGTCTGAGGCGGGTGGACCACTTGAGGTCAGGAGTTTGAGACCAGCCTGGCCAACATGCCAAAACCCTGTCTCGGTGTTTTTTCAAATGCAAAAATTAGCCAGGCATGGCGGCATGCACCTGTAATCCCAGATACTCAGGAGGCTGAGGCAGTAGAATCACTTGAACCCAGGAGGCAGAGGCTGCAGTGAGCCGAGATCACACCACTGCACTGCAGCCTGGGTAACAGTGAGACTCCATCTCAAAAAAAAAAAAAACAATGAAATAAGTCACTGGCATGAACATATCCTTTTTATGTCTTACTCATTAGAGTTCTTTAAAACATAAGGTTGGGCCGGGCTCAGTGGCTTATGCCTGTAATCCAGCACTTTCGGAGGCCGAGGTGAGTAAATCGCTTGAGATCAGGAGTTTGGGACCTGCCTGGCCAACGCGGTGAAAATTTGTCTCTACTAAAAATACAAAAATTAGCCAGGTGTGGTGGTACGCGCCTGTAATCCCAGCTACTTGGGAGGCTGAGGTGGGAGAATCGCTTGAACCGAGTAGGCGGAGGTTGCAGTGAGCTGAAATTGTGCCACTGCAGAGTGAGACTTTGTGACTTCGTCTCAAAAAAAAAAAAAAAAAAAAAAAAAAGCAAAAAAAAAGACAGATAAGGTCAGCTGGGTGCGCTTGCTCACACCTGTAATCCTAGCACTTTGGAAGGCCAAGGTGGGAGGATTGCTTGAGACCAGCTTGGGCAACGTGGTGAAATCCCATCTCTACAAAAAAATTAAAAATTAGCTGGGTGCTTGAGCCTCTGACATAGAGACCCTGTCTCAAAAACCAACCAACCAACCAACCAATAAACACTATTTTAGGAAGCCTTTTTAAAAAATGGAAATAAAGTAGAAAACGGGAAAAAAGGAAAGTACAGATCTTTGTATCTAGTTTCCAGTTACTGGGATTGGAAAATGGGGTGGCTGCCAGCCTCCTGTGGTTCCAAGCAATTCCGCCTGTCATCAGATCTCCTGAGTAGCCTGACATTACAGGCATGCGCCACCACTTCCGGTAATTTTTGTATTTTTTTAGTAGAGATAGGGTTTCGCCATGTTTGGCCAGGCTGGTCTCGAACTCCTGACTTCAGGTGATCCGCCTGCCTCGCCTCCCAGCAGGTGCTAGGAATTATAGTGTGTGAGCCACCTCGCCCAGCCTATTTATTCATTTTATAAACATTTATTGATTACCTACTTTGTGTGATGTTCTGGTTTATACTAATGAATGAGATGACCAGGTCCCTGACATTAAGGGGGGGGGTTTTAATTTAATTGTATGGAGAAGAGTAGGTAGCTCAATCATTGCCAGAAGCATGTGTATATGTATCTTCATTGCCTGTGGTAATATGATTGGGGAACATCAAAATTAGGCTAAAGATTTAGGAAGGCTACTCAGAAGAGGGGATTGTTTGAGCTGAGTTTTGAAGAAAGTTTCCTAGATCAATTAGTGAAAGAATGATATTGTAAGCAGAAGAATTTCCTACATGAAGTCAATAAAAGCGCATGAGCCACTGCAAGAACTGCTCTAGCTCTCCATGTGCCATTTACCATTACATTTTGTTAAAATTAGGACATTTAAAATCACCTTTCTTATTCACACTCAGCCACATTTCAAGGCTTAGTAGTCCTTACTAGTTGGTGGTCCGCATGGGCCATATCTCAAATAATAGGCCCTTTTCCATCATTGCAGAAAGGACAAAGCTGCACTCAGAGATCAGTTTGGGATGTACGAGATGCATGTTGATGGGTGGAAGGGGAAAGACACGCTAGAGAGGGTGACAAGGCCTGGGAGTATTTGGAGTCAAGCACATAAATTTTCAGCTGCATTCTCAAAAAGATTGTAGTGACGCCAGGCCGGTGGCTCACACCTGTTAATCCCAGCACTTTGGGAGCCTAGGCCTGGTGATCACCGAGGTCACGAGATTGAACCATTCTGGCCAAACTAATGAAACCCCATTCTACTAAAAACAAACAAATAAGCTGGGCGTGGTGGGTGTCGTCATGTAGTTCCCAGCTACCGGGGCTGAGGCAGGAGAATCGGTTGAACCTGGGAGGCGGAGGTTCAGTGAAGCTCGAGATCACCCCCACTGGCACTCCAGCCGGTGATAGAGTGAGACTACCGTCTCAAAAAAAAAAAAAAAAAAAAAAAAAAAAAAAGTTGTGTGCGTTGACGCCTTGGCAAATTATTTTAAAGTGAAGAGGCTATTGATCCACTGTGTCTTTTTAGCTAGAATCTCTCGCCCAAACAGCAGGCGTGGAGGACTAGGTATGGAGTGAGAGAGGAAATTACCAAGAGCTCCACCTACGGAGAAGAGAACACCTTGAGACCACTTGCAACCTTTATCTACATTTTGTTGTTTACAGTCATTAATCACTGCTTTGAGAACAAAGCCTGAACTAAGGTCGCAAATACGGCAAAGGAGAAGAGCCACGTAAAGCAAAGGCAAAGAGCGCACACGATCTTGAAGACTTGCCTTTGAACTGCGGGGACCTGAGGAATGAGTGAGACACTTTGCTAGTAACCAAATGGCTGACTGCAAGGTCACTCTGAGGGAACGTTGGGGAAGCAGTGCTTTGGAATAATACAAGGTGAGAGTTAACATACAGCCCATGGATGTGTTGTATACGGCAAGTGCAACAAACGGATCTAGAGCCTCGTTCAGAGAGAATCGCGTCGGCTGGGAGATCAAAAAGTGGGGAACCATCATTCTGTGAGTGGTAGTTAAAGGTAGGAGGGACGGTGAGCATGGTCGCTCGGATAAATACAACACACTGAAGCGTGAGGAGCCCAGGATGGCTCATGGGGAACTCTGTACTCTTCTGCCTCCTTCCTTTTTCGAGCGGGCTACAATGAGAAGTATGTGCTCACAAAAGAGCTCAGAAGGAGTCCCAAAGAAGTAGGAGGAAAAACATGACATTGCAGGGTCACTGAAGAAAGGGGCAGAGTGTTGAGAAGAACTGGCCACAGTACCAGATGGAAGCAAGAAAGTTCAAGTACCTTAAGGAGTATGCGGAAATACTTGCGTGAGCTTGGCAATAGAAATTAATTGATAATCTTAGTAAACGGCAATTTTATTCAAGGCATTGAAGACAGAGTGGGGTTATGTTGAATTAAGGAATATACTCAGGATGCTGACAAACTTTGAGTCAGTGAAGATAATTTAGAGGAAATGTTTACAGGCTACACCTGTATCCAACCACTTTGGGAAGCTGAGGCATGCTGGATCATGAGGGTTCAGGAGTTAAAGACAGCCTGGCAATGATAGTGAAACCCCGTCTCTACTAAAACTACCAAAAATTAGCCCAGGCATGGTGGCACGATGCTTGTAATCCGCAGCTACTCGGGAGGCTGAGGCAGGAGAATCACTTGGAACGCTGGGTGGCAGAGGTTGCAGTGAGCTGAGATCATGCCACTGCACTCCAGTCTTGGTGACCACACTGAGACTCCATCTCAACAAAAAAAC